GTTTATGGTTGGGCTTGATGATCTTAAAGGTCTTTTCCAACCAAACTGATTCTGTGATTCTGTTCTGTTCAGAAGCTCATCAGGATGGTGACTGACTCAGGTGGTGGGTAGCAGTGGTAGATCCATGTTTTGTCAGCAGGAGGCAGCATTTACACCTCCAACCTTGACTAACACAACGGAAATGTTTCAAGCGTGTAGAACAAGGTTAATTTTCATCTGCTTATACAACTTTGACATGTCTTTACCCTCCCAATCCCACTTCCTCTTAGGAATAATCATGTAGATCCTTCAGTTTGCAAAAATAGCCCTTTATTCCCTAAGGGAGTTAGAGGAACAACACCCACTGTCACCTGGTATCCAGCCAAGATGGCACATGGCTGTGTGCCACTGGAGGCAAGCAGTCCTTGAAACTTGTCTTTCTTTCAAAGTTGAAGCTTTCAAGGCTCTGGTTTCCATGGAAAGTTTGGCAGCAGGATGCTGAGGCAGCTCCTTAGAGCGTTCCTGGGCTGGAGGCAGCTTGGCAGACAAGTATTTCAGCAGATCTCCTGGAGATGGATGCATGTCTTCAAGTCCAGGAATGGACTGAGTGTGGGCAGCGGGCCATGGGGTCTGCCAGCAAACCCAGGAGTGCCATCAGGGCAGCGGGTCCTCTTCCTGCCTCCCTGATGTGCCACGGAGAAGGAGCCAACAGCCCCAGCAGCCGGGAGCGAGGGGCTGCCCCGCTGCTACTGGAAAGGGAATTGTGTCACGGGCGCTGCCGTTGTGGTGTGTTTAGGGGGAAGATACTCTGGCCTGCTGATTGCAACAGTCCTTGTGAAGCAGCGGAGGTTCCCCGTCTTCAGAGCACACTGGACTGGCCACAGAATGATGCAGAACAGGATGATGATCAACGCAGAGAGAAGGACTATGCGCTTCCAGTCATCACACATGTCACAGCGGGACAACCTCCCAACTAACCCTGCTGGAGGGGCCTCTGGGCTTTCTGGTTTGCTCATGGCAACATCAATGGAGATACAGGAGTCTGGATTCTCAGGGTCATCAGATGCCTGACGGCAGCACAGCTTGGTCCCTTCCATCCAGAGCACCTTCTCCTGCTGGAGTTCAGGAGGCAGCGTGGCGAGGAGTTCCTTGCTGGTCTGGAGTGCTGGGGCACCTTCCAGAGGGATGCTGGTCAGCTGCCTGCAGAATGGGCAGGGGAGCTGGTCCTCTGGTTGGTTTGGGGGCAGCCCCGTGCTCAAGCGGGCCACACACTCCAGGCAGAAAACATGGGAGCACTGGAGCAGCTTGGGCGTCTTGAAGGTGTTGTCGTAGGTGTTGAAGCAAATGGAACACTCAACAGGGGAGGTTGGCTTTGGAGACGTTGGGTTCGGAGAGCCTGGCTTGTCAGTTGGGGACCTCGCCTTCCTCTTGCCATCTCCTGGGGAGGTGACAACAATGGGGCTGATGGGGATGGGGATTTCACTTGGAGATGCAGGGACTGGGCTGGTGGGAGAGTCTGGTGTGTTGGAGTGCCACAGCTGCGTGAAACACGACATGACGGAGCCCGAAGAAATAAAGAGAGCCCTGGGAGACTCTAGAAGGGAAGAAAACCACAGCCTTCATTTTAAACAATGTGAAGACACCCATCACCAGACCTATGTTTAACCCCTTAAAAGGAACAAAGAGCAAGTCCATGACTTCCACTGCATCCTGAGCCTGGAATAGATCCCTGCTAGAGGTGAGAATGACACAAGTAGCCTGTTGGAAGCTGCGTACCGAAGGTGAAGTTAAACATCCTGCAAAGAAGCAAGCAACCAGCAGAGATCCACCGTCCAGCCAAAGCCTTTTCACCAGAACCACCATGGCATTATAGATGGGTGCAGTCTTTCCCCATACATGCCTCCCTCTGGGCAGAAAAAAAACACAACAGAAACCTACCCCAGCTGGTGCTCCCCGACACCTGAGCAGGGAGGAGAGCAGAAGACTCCATGAGGTCAAGTAGGGACCTCGCTATGGCAGTCTACTAGTCTGGGAAGCACTCAGATATTATGGTGGCAGCATGAGCAAGGCCTAAGAGACAGATAACACTATTCAGTTGTGGAGGTAGCAGGGGTGGTGAATCTCTTCTCTTTGATGTGCTCAGACAGACCTTCGTGCCTTCAATCATGGCTCTGCGTGCTGCCTGGCAGCAAGTGAGGCACCACCTGACAGTGCTGCCTGGTTTTGTCTATCCAAGGTGGGATCTGAATTCCCTCATGTCACAGGAGAAGCCAAGGCAGGTGAGGAAACACCGTTATCTTGCAAAGTTCATTCCATCCTCAGCCCCCAAGCTGCACAAGGAGCATCTCTGTCTTGTCACCGTGACACAGCAAGAAAAGCAACATTAGAGGAAGTGGCCATGGTGCCAGAGCAAGGGGAATTCTCCACTGTTTCCTTGTTGCTCTGGTTTCCCTAGGGAAACAGTTCTTCCCTGTCCTCAGCCCTGGAGGAGTGCCAGCATGGTGCTGCCATGTGCTTTGTTGTGGTCTGCAAGCAGGAACCTTGAGTTGAATGGGTAAGATGCATGTTCTAGGAAATTGGTTTATGACTTACTCTAACCTTCTCAGCCACCCGAGTGTGACCTTTCATTCCAGTTATCCTCACCTAGACATGCAGCTTCACGTACATTCTGATGTTCCCATTTATGACTTTTCAGCTCTTGAACACTTTTACCTGACAGCAAGTGTTTAGCTGGAGGAAATTCCCAGCCCTGGCCCTGATGCTGTGTGCCCGGGGAACATTTCTTTAGCATGTGTCACGGAACGAGCTAGGCTTGATTCTTTATGTTGGGAGATTTACCCATGACAAGCCAGAAATGTTCAGATTGCTACTGTAATTATAGGTCTCCAGTCAGTCCAGCAGTGGCTCACCAGTACAGGCTGGAGACTCTACATCTCGGTATAAAAAGCTAATTTAAGGTATCAGAAATACTACATGTTCCTTTCATGGCACAAAAAAAGTCTCCATTATTTAAGAATGAAATATTCTCCCATCACAGCCAGCATGGGCAGCGATGAAACCAACTTGAAGAACCTTCTTTTTTTCTTATTCTGAAGGAAGAAATTTTTTGTGAAGCCTCTCCTGAAGTTAAACTGTCACTCACAGACTATCTGCATTTTTCAGCAAGTTGTAATGTTTTTTAATGTATTTTTTTTTCTGGCTACAGATCACTGCCCATATTTTAGCACAATCTGGCAGATGCTAATAAATTACAAACACAAGCCCAAACTGGCACAGAGATTAGGGAAACCCCTGATTTGGTTTGGGGTTTGTTGTTGTTGTTTTGGGGTTTTTGTGAGGGTTTTTTTTCCCCCCTAAATCTTCTGTTTTGCAGAATTCCATTCCCTACCCCCAGCTCTTTGCAGTCACTCAGCTTGGAGTGTTTGTCAGAAATTCTGAGCAGCGAAACCAGTGGCAGAAGGTAACCTCGGAAAGAGCTTACGCCAACTGTCATTTCATAACCTGCGTGGAAAAGCTGTTCCGTTGGGGTTTTACTACTTTGTAACGTGACAGCGATAGCAACAGCAGGATCTTGATAGTAAACTGGAGGAAGTTTACTCACAACAGTTGCTTTTAAATGAAGATACAAGCTTTTGCTCGCGTTTTCCCTTTGCTAAAGATGATCGTGACGCTATAGGTGCTTGTTAATTTTAATAAATTCAGAGTCTACTCATTTTTATCCAAGGTAAATCACCTCTGGAGGGGAAGGTATAAAAGATACTTGAATTACAGCAGCAAGGCCACTTGTACATAGGGAGCTTCTAGAGGTGAAGTTCCCTGTGTACAAGTGAGTACAATGGGTCTACTCATTTTAACATCTTGGTGTTCTCTGGCACCTTGATCAGATACACCACAGGGAGTTGGCTTAAACTGGGAAGATGTGAAGAGCAGGGCACAGAGCCAAGGCATGGGAAAGACAGTTTTAATTTATACTCTGCCACATCAAACAGGTCCATCTCTGCCCACTTCTTGTGTTTTTTGGTGTTTCCAAGCTGGTGCTCAGAAAGTTACATCGGGTTTGGGCAGCAGCTAACACAGGGACTGGGATTTCTCCTGGGCACTGTGACTGTACTACTACCTGAAAGGCTGTCATTAAAGCTGGACAGTCCCAATGAAGACATGCAGTGTGGAATCTCAATTGGATTAATTAGCATTTGAGGTTTTTGTTTGTTTGATTTCTGTTGTAGTATATATATATAAAAAAAATAACCACGATCACATTTTTATTTTTTTTTTAAATACAAGGCAGCATCTTTAGTTGTTCAGACCTCCATGGTCACACTGCATTTCCTCAGACCCTGCAGCTCTTTATTCCTCTTTTCCAGCTATTTCCCTGGGCTTTCCAGAAACTTTGGCCACATCAGTAAATAAATAAACCATTCAGGAGAGACACATCAGCTCAGATTTAAAACTAAGTAGTTAAGTACTTTTTTACTTCCCAACAAGTTCTAGAAAACTTCTTTCCATACAGTAAAACCAGACAAAAGAGAACATGCAGTTAAGATAGTGGCCAACATTGTTTGGGAATAAGGTTCCCTCATGGTATCGTTAACTCAGAGCAACTGAATACACAGCAAGTTAAGAGGTGTACAGCAGATTAAAGTCTATAAATACCTGGTCAGAGTGCTGTTTAGAAGGAGAAAAGCATGTTCTGGGCTCTTGATTTCTATCCCTGAAGAGTCTTCTCTCCAGTGGATAGTCTTAGGCTCAGGGTCTTTTGTATTTCTAAGCTGCCTTCTGGTATTGGAGCTCCCCAGTAGCTTCCCGAGTTGTTTCCAAGCACGGTAGGTCTGGTAAGACAAGTCACCTCTAGAAGCTCCCTGTGTACAAGTGGCCCTGCCGCTGTAATTCAAGTATCTTTTATACCTTCCCCTCCAGAGGTGATTTACCTGCTCCACCTGCCTTTCCCCATCACCACTGAATCACTCCCTCCCTGCGAGCACGCTCCCGCTCCGGCCGGTTTCTATGACAAACAGGGCAGGCTGGAATGCTCCTGATAAGAGGACAACCACCCGTGTCTGCCCCAGGGAAGTGTTGTGAGAAATGTTTATCCTTTCATCTTCTCTGGACTTCTGCTTTCTGGTAAATTCTTGCAGTTCTTCAACTAGCTGTTAGGGTTTTGGGTTTTTTAATCACTCTTCATAATCTGGTCTCGTTTGTGCAGATACACCGGCCACATTTTTACAGGACAGCAAATCTTCTGAAGGAAAACTTCAGAACACCCAAAACCAGCAGTTCTTGTTCTGTTGTTTCTTCACAAAAGACAAATAATTTGAAAGTGCCTTGGACTAACAGCAGGTACAAGATTCTGACAGTCAAAATTCCTGTGACTGGTTGAGAAGAAAAAATTGCTGCACTAGAAAAATCTAGTGTGAGTTTGAAAGCCTGAAAGCTGTTTATAAATTAATTGAACTGCTCTATGCAACCGTGTCTACTTCAAGCTCCTGTAGAATTCTCAAATGGTATGGATTGTCACTGAGAAAGAATTTCATTCTTTGCAGCTTTTGATAGTCATTGACATAGAGAAATATTATTTGACCTGCAAACTTTTTGTGGTTCAAAGGGCATCAGTCCATGAGTGAGAAAATAGAACCAACAAATTTACAGTCAGGTGCAGATAAGGAAACAAATGTGTGTGAGTAGAGGGGGAGTAACAGGTAACATTCAAACTTCAGTTCTTGGTTGTTGCAAATCCTGCTTTTCTTTATTCAGTTTCTCACTAAAACAACACAAGATGGTCTGTGGATTTTTTTTTTTCAGGATGGTAGCAGGAAGTCCCTTCTTTAAAAAGGGTAAGACAAGTCACCTCTAGAAGCTCCCTGTAGATGTGGTTGAGAATCATCACTCTAAAAATGTATGGAACTGTGTTTGTCTCCTAGGTCAGGGAAGTGTCTAAATCCCCTAGATTTTCTTGGCAGTCAGATACACCTGGCTTTGGCTTCCACATTCCTCTATCTCAAGTCACACTGTTCAGTTCTAGTGAGCTGAAATCCAAATGAATTCTCTTTTAGGAATAAAGGAAGCCTGGTGAAATGTCATAGTTTTAAATGTGTTTTAGAATTAGAACTAAGGTTACTTGATCCTTCCTCAGTTGGAAGGATCTGAACTATAGAGGATTGTTCCTCCAGTGGATTCACCATGAGCTCCATGGGTGACTCTAGAAGACAGACACCTCAATGGAGAATGCAGGTTAAGACTAAACTTGCCCAGATCTGCACCTCGATAGTAGAGCTCCCTCAGTGCAGTGTGCCTGGACCATGGGAACATCAATCCTCACGCTCAGCTCCAGCACGATGTGCTCCCCAGCTATTTATGTTGCTCTTCAGGGATGAGCGAGGCTGGGAGCAAACACTGGCTGTGGCTGACAAAGCAGGATGCTTGATGAATGGATGTAAATCAGATTTTTAAAAGTCTTGCTCACTTAGTCACTTGCATAAGCACTTTAGTAAACTGGGCTCAAAATTAACAATGCTTCAGTAATATATTGGGGTACGTTACGTTAGGTGACACACTGAGGAACAGAGGTCCTTGTTTTGGGTCTAGTTGAGACCTTCTCCCCTGGTAGTCACTGGTTCACTCTTTGATCGTGTTCTAAAGGAAAGACAAAGGTATGTTTTAAGCCTTTTATCCACTGACAAGTCCAGGACTGTTGAACTGCAGCGTGAGCAGACTACTGCTGTTTCAGAGTTTCAGTGTTCCTGACGCTGGTTTCTCATCAGCCTCAACGTGACTGCTGCGTGGAACAGGTTGAGTCCAACCCAGAAGCTTGAGAGCCTGGGGCAAACTGGGCTGTCCCACACATGCCCACGTGTTCCTCCTCCTACGGTACCAAGATCTAGCGCTGTACAGGGATGACGATCAGGGCTTGGCTTCCAAAAGTGAGTGGGAGGTTGTCTTGATGTTATTTTTATCTTCTGTTTGGAGAAATAGACTGAGCATGTCAGGAGCTGC